ATCTCTCTAGAGGAAAAATTGAATAACAAACATAGCTAAACTACTGTAGCCTTGCTGTAGAAGAAAAGTCCATTTTGTATCTCTCTGTATGGTGACAACAATCAATTAAATTGTGAATAACAAACATAGCTAACTTGATGACAACAATGAATGAAAAATGAATAATATAACTATATCTTATTCTAAACACATAGATATAGAAGTCAATGTTGAAAGATCCATACCTGTATCTTATTTGTGACACAGCACTGATAACAAGGAATGGCTGATGATAATAATGCAGTTGAATAACAATGATGATGACAAATACGGTTGGTGTCAATAACCTCACAAATAGCGTCTGGGTATCATACTGTTGTAATCCAATATCACTAAGTCTTTAAAAAAAGAAGGTTAGAACAGCAATGTTAAAAGTTATGGTTTTAATTGGATCAATTTTTTTTTACTATAATTTCCAAAGAATTTAAAACTTTGTAAAACACATGAAAACTAATGAGAAGACCAGTTGTAGATTTCAAGTACACATGATAATCTATACGATAGGTGATTCTTCATTCACTGCAAAATCTTGCATATTGCGTGAAAGGCGCAAATCGAACGATTAGATTTTGTACTCACAATTATTTTTATAGCTTAATGTCAAATAGGCAACCTTCTGAGAGGGGAGTGTTGCCTTTAGATACCCTTATTTCATCATCAAATAAGCACATTATGTATAAACATTATTAAGCGTGGAAATATCCCCGAAATACTTTCATGTACATATGTCTAATTCCACACAATGTTTGATGTCACTAAAGTAATATGAACTTTGTTGTCATGATTTTACATTTAATTTCACACATAACTTGAGATCTCGCAGTAAATGAAAAATGGTGTAATATCAGCAGCAGCTTTTAGGCTTGTTCAAAGTTTGTACATGGTATACATGATCAATGGTTTATGCATACACAACTTTGTACAAAGTGACTATGAATTGTAGCATTTCACAGCACTTAGATCAAAACATTTACCATATTTAAGTACCGGGTAGTGGTGTGATAGATGAATAGAACTATTTTAATAAAACATAATATGACAAGCGATGGACTATGCAGAACACTGACGATGGCAAAAATAACATGTAACATTGAAGCCCAAAAAATGATGTACAGTGTTCTGTGTCAGTTCACAAATGAGAAGAGAAAACACTTCAAACACACATTAACTGTGGTAAATGGTAAAAAAGTTAAGGTTGCTTACAGATCTTCTGTCATTCCAGTGCCATTAATCCAATATTGTGGGAAGTTATCAAACTGATATGTATATATTATAACCAGAACACACATAGAGTAAAATACAATAATCCACCAATAAGTCAACATTATAAATCGCCATACTCTGTATGAAATCTGAAACATTAATACAGAAAGCAAATCATCACTGCAGTTGTGTTGAAGCATATATACAAAGCAAAATTTGATATGCCAAACAAACCTGTCAACAAACAAGCTGCATGCTCTTTGATTGATGTGACTGTTAGATGTTGACATTGTCTCCATCACTGTACAGTTCAAGAGAACAAAGCTCTCGTCATTCAGATGAATATTGTTAAAAATTCAGCATTTAAAATCATAGAAACCAGTCATCAGTAAAAAGTTATATCTGACAGTGTATGATTCTGTATTCAACTGTGTTAGAAATACTCTTATTCGAATAACATTCAGCCATTTAATTTAATTTACAGGTTACTCCCATGGACAATTTACGTTGAAGACACGCAACTTTCAAATTCATATCAGGTGTTCAGCACGAGCTGTGTATAACGGAATAAACAAATTCTGCCAAGGGGATATTCCGAACCTTTCAGTTATTATTATTTATTTTAATTTAATATATAATAAACATTATGTCATGAAATATAATGCAAGTTTGATTCGTTATCAATTAGTCAAATTCACTAAACACATCCTTGCAAATTAGACATGTCTTGGTAAGCTCCCTTGACAATGTGCATACTAACTGGCTGACTGATCTACCATTTCATACTGTTTCGCCTTGGAAATCACATCCACTGTGGAACAAGCTGCTTGTGTTACTACAGGCAATAATTGTTGTATTGACAATTTCGCTGGGATCTCTTACCCCAAAATATGTGTATGCAAGTAGTTGCTACCCCAGGAGTAACACTTAAAATGAATGAATTGATATAGCTAATTGTTATAAGCATTGAACAGATTTAACGACTGACACTTCAAAACAGCAGTCCAGTTCTAACCATTCAAAAATATATACAATTCTGAAGCACTTTTTGCCAAATTATGTATTCAATTCGCCAATGAATATATTATGTTAGAGAAGATACTACGAATTCCTACATGTTTATTTTGTACAACTTTGCAGGAACCATCCAGTTGTTACAGTTAGTTTTGAAGTGTGTTCTTGATTATTCCAATAATGGAAATGCACCTGTCATTTGTCCATGGTAGTATTGGACACAAGCCAGTCTCTACATAGAGTCAAAATAAAGCTTGTGTGATATAAGCTATTGGATACATCTGAACTTACCACTAATATTATCATGTGAATCAGAAAGAGGAGCATATAAATTATTTTATACACTACAACATCCTGTTGAAGGCTAACTATTAGAAACATAGCACCACATAGAACTATCCAGTATTTAGTCAGAAAACCATGGATTGTCAACCCAAATTTCTTCATAGTAGCACTGTCTTCTCCATCATGGAAATCCCTGGCAGAGTCTACATCACTATTAAGACCTAGGAGACATAAATGGTTTAGTGGTAAAACAAACATATGGTATGTACATGTATAATCAAGTAATATGCATACTTTATCACGCAATTATTCGTTATTGTTTTTGAACATACATGTATTAAGGACTTGGTTAATCTTGTAGACAATACAGACTATTCAAATTATACACGTATGGTAAAAGTCTCGCATATGATTTGGCACAATTTACATGAGCTTTGATCAGAGATGTACTTCTGTAAAGCTAAATACAGAATTCAATATATCAATGACCTATCTGAAGAGCCTATATGTATAGTTTACAATACAGTCCCATGGTGATAAACCAATTTGAGCAATATAAATCAAACATTTAAACATTGTATGCTACAGCAGATGTCTTGACTACTTTTTTCTTGATGAGTCTGAATGGTAGATAACAAATATCCACAGAGTGTGTTTTTGACATTTTTGTGAGATTTAGCATGTCTTGATTTACATCAAGTAGATAGTGTCCGACATGTACCACGTAAATCACTGGTAATGGCAGTAATATGGGGTGATAATTTAACAGGGTCCACCGTTTTGCCAAGACCTACTTGTCAGTTTTAAATTGTTCCTAACTAACAGAGTCCATAAAAACACATTATATATCAAAATTAACCAAAAATAAATATAGTTGTTAGTAAAACTGTAATTACAGAACAATTTGTGACTCTTCATCTTTTTTTAGACTTAGATTGTATTAAATCAATAGTATCTGTCATGGGTGATTGCAAGTATGTCGCCTTGCATGCCTACTTCAGACTCAAGACTCTGATAACCAGTATGTATATTTACAATTATATTGTATTTGCTCCATTAGAAGCACATCTCCAATAGAAGTGCACATGTACCAAAAATCACATTTATAGTATACTGAATTATGAAAATATTATCTAATTTGATCATTGGATCGGGTAGGTTAGATTTTCAGCATCAGAAAAAGAAGCCACAGAACAAAAAGCATAGCCACGAAAGCCAATATTTAATTTTTGTTATTTTCATGCTCAGTTAATTCTAAATGGAGAGTCTAAATGAAGTTAGACATAACAATGGTTACAATAAGCCACATCAGGAACTACATTTAATGTATATCCATTTTTACGTAGTACTTACCACTAGGAATAGACTGTTCAGTAGAAAATATCAGACCAAATGGTTGTAGTCCAATCTCAAGAGAGTTAAGATTTTTCTTCTTTAGCAGCCGTTCCCTCATGTACTGGCGTAATGTGAGCCAAAACACACTCGTGTACAAAATCTGGTGAAATAAAAAAAAACATTAACTCTTTGAACGCTAAAGTGAACTTTTGTCACGTTTCAAAAAAAATAAAACATTTTTTCAACATTTTGACAAGTAGCCATTATCAAGTCCATTTGGTCCAAGGTTATCGAAATAATACAGAAAAAGCGTAAATATTATAACCTGTTGAGAATCTAGGTATTAAAATAAAAATTCAAAATGGATACAAACCAAAGATACACTTATTGCCAGGTACTAACTTTTCCTTGTGAGGCAAATATAGAATAAAAGTTCTACTGAAGACAGTACAATAATATATCCAGTGTTCTCACCATGACATGAGACATTTGCCTTAAAATTTATATTTTTTACTCTGATGAGGCGAATTGTCTAACAAAAATGTAAAGAATTACAAGTGACAATTTATAAGTGCATTATCTCCCTATAAAGGAACAAAATACATCATAGATGGATTTGTTTCAAACTTTCTGAGCTGATGGAACAATTTTGCCCCACATATACACTTCTTTGCAAAACGCTGTATTTAAAAAAAAAATTGTGTGAAAAATACTGGCTAAAATTTTGGTGGGATCATATTTCCATGAAAGAACTGATTAATATAATATCTTTCTACATATACTGAATTTAACCTTTTCACCACCAGACTTTCTTGACCCAAATTTGTGTGCACTATTTTCTTATATTTTGGGAGATAACCCTTTTTTTGAAGCCAACAGACAAAATTTAAGTGAAACTTCAGTTTTTACTAAAAAAATCAGGCTATTTTTATCCAATCTTTTGAAGCAAAGAGCAGACTATAAACAAGACTATTTTGTGAATTTGTGATGAAAAAGAGGGAACTGGTGGTGAAAAGGTTAACTCACATACTACATGTACTGAATTAATCTCAAAGTTCCTTTTAGTATACTGCATTACATGTTTTTTAGGTTGCATGTTATTTTAGCTATGTAATTTCGCTAATTCAAGATGTATTTAATTTTATAAAAGAAAGTATATTCTGACAATGAAATTGTTAAATTAAGATTCTGTTAATTTGTGCTTTGAGCCAAATTTGCTAAAACTAGCTACTTCAAAGTGTTTTGTAGTAATATAACATGCTAGTTACATCAAAATTAAACTTGGTTGACATTATATAGTGATTGATAAGACTAAAGATGATCAGTTAAAAATGATGATATACATACAACATCTGCCAAAATTGAATTTGCTCTGAAAAAGATCTGATAAAAACTGTTTACGTTATTGTAACCACACAAAAACGAGTTAACTCTGGAGACGACAGCAACATAAACAAGTTCAGACTTTTTCCCCTCTTATTATTTGTGTACACAATATTATTTCAAAGTCTAACAGGTAATCTCACTTTTTATGTTTGCCATACACTTTAATCCAACTGTGGAATACAACCACTAAATTACCTTCCAGTGAGAATTAGAATCAATAATTTGTTTTGGGGTGAATGAAATCTAGGTCAGTCAGATATAATTATCTTTAGTTTTGGGTATGTGTTAAGGCCAATAAAATGTCAAGCGGTTTGAAAGTTGTTGCACCCTATTATCTTTATTGATTAAGGCGACATGTTTTCGCTTCGATTTTTTAATAGCATTGCGTTCCTTTCATTGTGCATCACCCATCAAGAATTAGTAGAAGATGCTAATTATTTTAAAGATATTGTGAAGTATCGCACCTCACGTAGCTCTCACGTAATGTATGAAAGGGGTGGACCGAACATTAGACACAAAAATCAAATGATTTGATTTGAACTTGACTTTCTATTTTTTTTTATAGCTCAATGTCAAAATACCAATCTTTCAGATGGAAATACTGCATTGTGATACCCTTAATTCAACGAAATTGACCACCATCGAATCATCACTATGAGTCCCATATCAAACAGGACACGACCATCGTCCTTTAAGTGATAAGTGGATAAAAATAAATATGTATTATGAAGCTGAACAAATAACTATATTGTGATCACAAGAAAAGACAACATTGTTAAGAGCAACAAACATTTCAGGACTGAAATCTTTCCCTGAATCCATTATTTCAAGGAAATGCACATGCAAAGCTTGGTATGGAGACAGCTAACTCCTCAGATCAGGGCTATGTGTGTGTTTATGCGTTGATACTAACCTTGACAGCTAGATGAACACACGGATGTTCATGATGAACTAATCCAATATCTTCATAATCTATAGCTCCTTTTGTAGGCAATTCATTTTCATTTAAATATAGTCCATACACATAACTGATAATTAACAAGACTTCCGCATAGATTACTAAAAATGGTGAACTGTGTAGACATGCTGCTCTTGAGTTTGGTATCATCCATATAAAACAGGCCCACAATAGTAAAACGAAGGTTAACCAACTATGGTATGTGATACTCCAAGCCTAATGTTGAAGAAGAGAAATTTTTTTACTGGTTTAGTATAGCTCAGAACTGTAAATCCAGTACATTTATTGCAAGCTTATTAACTATACAAACCATACACAGATTAAATGTATGATATTTTAGGTTAATTGTAGAAAGCTAAACACAGTAAGAAATTATTGTAAACTCACCATCATAACAATAAGCAAAACAGTGTAACTTTGTTTCATAACAAAAAAGAGAATAGACATCCAAGGTTTTCTGACTCTAGGCTTCTCTTCTGTGTCAGATAATGGAGTTGTTGGTATCTTTGAAGAAGCCGCTCCCGACTGTGATTCTGCAACACTTTCTAATTGTGGTTCACTAAAGCTACCAACTGCTGGATCAATTGATTGATATTTAGTCCTCTGTGATTGAGAACTTGTGTCTACAAGAAGCTAGAGATACAAAAGTGACAAATATTGTAAACGTTTTTTCACTGCAATGTTCAATTTTATGAAGATTTGAATTGAATTGAAGATGGTTTTAATATAAAGACAACAAATCACAAACCTATCATGAAGAACTCCAATATAAAATATATTTCTATTTTCACAATATTTCATCACTAATGAATTTGTATTTTGGTAAAATAATTCAGGGTCTCCACATAACTTTAATGTCTACCACCTAAGCATAAGTCCTTTTGCATTTAATATCAGAACCATCTTCAAATCAATATTACACATTTCCACATTTATTAAATGACATTCATATTCATAATACCTTACTTTAACCATTTACATTTGTGACCATCAAATAATAAAAATCAAAACCGCAATTTTCTACTTACTATTAGTATAGCCAGCTATACAATTAGTATAAACAGATGCATTATTGACAATGTTACACAATTTCCCTTCACCAAAATTACAAACACCCACTGATATAAAACATATTAAATAAAAAAAAAATTAAAAAAAATACTATTTTATGCTCTTGTCTGATTGTCTAATTCTGAGTTGTTGCCATTCATGGTCAAATATTGACATTTTGAATGTTCAATTGGATTTTGAAAGTCTGCTCAAATGCACACTATAATGTTATATGAGAATGACTAGTGAAGCCTGATAATAATAATAATCAACAATCATTTGTTAGAAAACTATATATATTTAGAATAAAGACAGCAATTTCAAGTGACAGCTGGTCAATTAATAAACAAATGATACATATGCAACAACTCAGAAATATAGAACAATGCTACAAAGTAAAGTAATATAAACAAATGGACTTGCATGTTTTTGGTCTCTGTAGTTTTAACACAAGGAGTTTGTTCTTAGGAGGAGAGTGGTTTTATGGAACATAAAAATTACCAGCTTTATGAAGAATATTTCATAGAAAATAATATCATAGGTTTTTAGAAGCATAGCATTAAACAGTGAGGACCATAAAATGAAAGCTGATAGCAGTGAGTAGTGTTTTAGCAGACAGAAAATAAGGCAGCTAGTAAACAAAAAGTATCAAGCATATGATAGCACTTAGTAAACACCAATACTGCAACATACATCAAAAAATTCTGATGATGAAAATATTTGCATGCACTCCAGAGTATTCGAAAATTAAATTATATGACAATTGTTATTTACAACCACACCATACCAACCCACTCCACACTACACTACGCAACGCAGTTAGAATAACACATATATGGATGATCATATACTGAAGCCGTACAAGAATTTCATAGCAAAACATGCAAGAGCAAAGTTTTCCTTCTCCATTACTAATCTAAGGATAATATCTTAAAAAGTTTAGCCAGACAATAGAAAAATAAAACAGACTGAACATTTTGTTATTTCAACACACCCGCGAAGGATCAGTTATTAGTTGTGAGTAAATAAACCGTCAAGACAAGAAAATAAAGAATCTTTCTGAGGTTGAACCTGGGTTAAATTTTGGTTTCATCATTAAGATTTAAATTTTGGTGTATTTGTTTTCTGGAGTGAACAAGGAAAAAATTGCTCATTTAAAGAATCAACCCAGCACCAACCTTGAGCTTTGGATTCTGCTATAATAGTATAATGATAGGATGATGCAAATACGTAAATGCATAGAGTGTAGAGTACAGAAATGAGGGGGGGAAAAAAAACAGACAAAAATGGAAATAAGTGAATTGATTCTGGAAGACAAATGATACTTCGTAATCATAGATTACTTAAAAAAAGATCAATACAAAAATACTAATGTACACTATTTAATATTACATGTAATGTAAACAACCATACTTATGTCAAACACACTCATTTATACTTGTACACACAACATTATCTATAAAACAACACTGAGTCAAATTGTATTCATTTCATATTGATAGCCTCAATCTCTACTACATACAATCTATAAAGAGTATTGACAAATTAAACATATTGATGTAGGTTTGTTTTTTCAAATCTATGAACCTCAATTTTGATTTTAGTAATAACATTCTTTGGGACATCAGAGCTATAAAACATACCTCCCTTTCTCCTGCACTGTGTGTACGTCTCTTCTTATGTCGTTTATGGGTTACTTCAAGCATGTACTAGAGTGGTAAATATTTCACAATGTCAATATCAAGTTATCAAGCACACTTACAAAAAACAGCAAACACAACATAACATGAGCTTGCAAACGAGACATGCACAGAAAGATGAAGGTGGTATACCAACTTACATAAAATAGTTCCTATTACCATAGAAAGCAGCAAGAAGAATAAGCCAGTTTCGAATGTAGGTGTTACTTTTAATAATAAATTGATTGTGAAAAACCTAACCATAAAATGATGCTTAACAGCTTCAGATTGAATAAGCACATGACCCACATTTGGAAAATTAGCCCTATGATATGACTATTGAATAATGAATTAAAATAACTAATTAATATGGGTAACATTACACATGCATTGTATGTAAAAATATGTAGGTAGAATCCAATTATGAGTAGACTCCACCAGGAATCCCACCTGGTGTGGGGAGGAAGGGGCTGAAATGATGAAAACGGTACAACAAAATAATACATTTCAACAGCTTCAACAGCATAAGACTAGGCTAACAACATAACACTCCCAGATGAAAGAGTTCCACAATTGCAGAAAAATTCAATTTTCATTCTCTAGATATTCAATTTTCAAATTTTCACTATTTCGAGTTCACCATCTTGATTCTCCAGCAAAGGATTATTAAAAGTATAACATGATAGCATCTTTTGTAAAAAAAAAAAAAAAGATTAAGAAAATTTCATCTATAACTTCTAAAGTAGACTTCAAATTTATTGAAAGTTTAGAAAATGGTAGCATACAGGTGCCAACCATAAATAAAAAATGATTGTCATAGCAACAGAACCGAAAATATTTATTTTAATTTATTTTTACATTATTCTACAAAATGTTCAATATACAATTTATTGATAAGAGTAGCTTATAAAGGTTATGTATACTAACAGAACAATAAGGTATCATTTTCAACAACCTACAAATTTTTTACTTATTTAACTTTTTTTAATATCTTTACTTTTTGTGCTTTTGCATTCTAATTACCATTATTATTTATACATGAGTAATATGTACACTAAAAATTTGCATTATTTCAATAGATGATGTGATGTCATATGTTACCCATAATTCTTTGACGGCAAATCAAAATGGTAGACAATGTATACTACCGGTAATTAAAAAGTTGAAATTATAGAATCTAAAGCAATACCGAAAATCTGTCAATTGCATTCCCTTCCATTTTTTGAACTCTTTCATCTGGGAGTATCATGCTGATTAGACTTCCACTTTTTATCATGAATAATGAGCTGCAAGATCCAGGGTCATTTCAAGTTAACTTACAGGGTTCTGAATCCACTGACATGTGAGCAAAGCTAGATACCAGTAATACACTAGTAATATAACAGGATTGACATAAGCTGGCCACTTTAATGTGGTATCTAGGAGTAACTTATATGGACAGTCACAGTCGTAGATGATTATTGCTGTTAAACCAAATAGCCTGTAAGTAAACAAGACCAATATACTGAATTACATGTACTGGCATTTTGCCATGTATAAATACTAATCCCCTTATTCCCAAAATTCATCAAGATAATATAGTACATCATTATTCACATTGCAATGTACATCAAATCAAAAATATAATTACTTTGCACAGCTTGTAATGCATTTGACACAGCCAAACATACCTTGAATATAAACTTTTAGCAGGTAACGCTTGTTGGAAGAATTGAAACTGGTAGAGATAAAGTGCAACCAGATGGGCTCCACAATATGTCAACATAACAATACGGACATAGACCAGCTTACGTCCCCAGTGTTTGTAACATGACCACCAAGACACGACCACCAGAAACGTTAAGAAATATACAGACGAAGTCACTGACGGTAGAATGATACCAGCCAGGGCAGTTAGAAAACAAGTGGTGAAAGACCAAAGTAAATCCATTGCAAAAGACATTTGTGAGGTCTTTCTATGCACAGTTGTATTAGAGCTTGAAGTTGGACGTGGAGTGTTACGTGTTAACTTATAACATGCTATGTAGACTATTAGAGAGACTGTGAACATTAGAACATCAGGAGCAATGGCTCGGACTGCATCCAGCACAGGAATATCTAGACGCTGTAACCCAACCTGTCGTAATGCTGTCTCCAAGGTAGAACCTTTGTAGAGAAAAAAATAGAGCAAATGTGAGCATCTTGAATAATTTCACTACATTGTATTGTGCTTTTTTTGACAATTTCAAATACCACTTTATAGCACTTTCAGTCACACAAATACATTTGTAACATTGTAGGCTAGAGGATAGCATCTTAAACTTTTTTTTGAGCTACAACCGTATACAAATGCTACAGACACAAGTATCTTGGGTCTTTTGACTACATTTATTTTCAGAGTTGGTTTCCTGGGCACTATATCGCTATATCTTTTCCACACAACAACGCATCCTAGCAAGTTTCTGGTGACCACCCTCCTCTCCCTCACATGACCACAACCAATATAAATGATGTGCAGTTTGCATAACAGTTGTGCAAAAAATGGTGTAGGCAGGACATGGGTATGCAACCATGTTGTTCTCAAGCAAATGGGTCTAGGCAGATTATGATCCTTCATGATCAGACATTTTGTGAAACAATGTGACTCTACGTTCCCACAAAAATTCACACAATTTTTTCGTATAAAAAACAGGATTATTGATGAGACCTAATCGCCCTCTAGTGGTCAAATTGGGAGATGAAATTAAAGAAACACTCGCCCCATTCATCTTGCAATAATTTATAATCCAATGTTTTGCTATTTAAATATTAAATAGCTCAACTTGCTAGTATTACCATTTGTTACATACATGGTTTCTCTATTCACAGCACATTCACATATAAATATTTGGGTACTGTTAATATACCTGTATATGCAGGCAGGTTTTATATTAATTGGAGTCACTACCAAATTAGTTCTTATTGCCAAAATACATGTATAAACAACAGCAAAGATAATAGAGGTTTTCTAGGCCCTTTTTTAGCTGGCAACCTGTTGTGGCCGTTATCATTATCGCATCCTATCGGGAGGTCTAGCTTTGATCTCATATAGTCAGGCAACATGATCCATTGAATTCGGTCATCTCTTTTACAGTGTTCCCATTCTGTTTGACCCCACTCACTAGGAGTGGTCTGGAGATCACATTTAATATTCTTGTTGTTGGTGTATAGTTGTTTGTAAAGAGGTGACACCAACTGACATCAATCTAAACATTTACAGTAAAGCTGTGTTCACATAAACTACATACTTGTAAAACCTACTATCATCCTGTACAATAAAAACTGAAGCCACAGCGGTTGGTTCTAGTTTTGTTCAATTTATACTGTATGTACTGGATTTGTTCAAAATCATGTGCATCTAAAACCTTCTGAGCAATTTTTCTGCTAAAAATTTTTCTTATTCTAGCGGCAATAGATTCAGGTCCATATATTCTGAATATTGGCAATCACAAAGAACGCATTGTGGAAGTAAATTTCATTATTATCGAAGCTGTAATTTTGTTAGCGATTATTTCACTGTATGATGTTTTTTAAAGAGGCAATTACCAAATTTTAAAAGGTAAAACAATAATTAAAAGAGTTTTAACAGCTTTCATGATGATAACAGATAAAATGTAATTTATCTACTCATGCAACAAAGTCTTTTCTGCAGCACTAACTCAGTCTCAGTCAGTTTTTTTTTTTGCCATTAAACATTGCAATTCATTGTGTTTTGATGGGAATGATGATTTCTGAATAAAAATGAGTAAAAAGATCGCCCGAGTGAGGTTCTGGAGCCAGCACTCACCCAAAATATATGACCTTTCCTCTAAAAGATCAACTAGGGCGTGGTATTGGACAATATGATATATGTTGTATAGCATGTGTGACTGACAACAATACTGGGATCAAGGGAGTCCCTGATGAACCAAGTTTTCAGAAAACATGTGGTATATTTCATTATCAATTTCACAATAACAAGCTGAACTAAAATTAAATTAACAATCCTTGGGTAGGAACTGTCATAATATTCAATATTCATATTCTTCTAATGATTTCTACAACTGTGGGTGACCACCCCTTATTTGACATCCAGATTTTTAATCATTGTCCACCATTGAATATCAGCATGTATGTTACTGTGTTTTTGGTTATCCAATGATGTTTGATATTTTAAACCAAATATCTAAGGGGCCATCACCTGAGCATGGGTTTTACAGACCACATAAAAAATATAAGCTTCACATTATGAGCAAACTAGAGATGTTGGGTGTGTCACAAAGAAAGGGTATTCTTTTCAAATATATACATATATGTCACAAATGTGGTATTCAATACCTAACTATTGAAAGCAGTATATAATGTTTTATGTACTTACAGAATTCTAGCCAATGTCCATATGGTTGTAATACTAGCAATACAATCTGAAAGACTAACTGTGCTCCTAATATAATACTTGTTAAAATTAATAAAGTTTTCAAGAACCGTCCAGTGTGTCCTGCAAGAAAAGAATATGCATGTAGTTTCTATAGTACAATACTCGGAAGAAAACCAATTGTTTAACCTTATGCACTTATGACAAATATAAAAACACCTGTAATTTTATTTTTAATCTATCAGTGTTCAGACAAAATCCATATGTATGGTCAAAATTAAGTCACATAGTAATTGGTTTAAGTACATTCTAATAGAGATGAGCTTCTAAGGGGCAAAAAAATCAATTGTGGATTTCAATAAATGCATTACAAAAACAGTAATTCAGATTTACATTTACTTTCATTGAAATATTGTGTAATTTTGCACCATTTTTATGCTTGGCCCAAAAAAAGGTTTATGGCAGGCAATTAACTTTAAAAGGTAAGGTTATCAGAACCACACTTTTTTTTTGCCTAATAGTGCTAATAATGTAAATGTAATACCGTACTGTAAACTGCACATCATAAATTTATTATATTTTCATTTTGAAGCAGTTCATTGGAAGGCATTTACCCTGAGTATCATGGTTTTGTTGCATACATGTGTAATGAGAACAAGCTGCCAATAGATTATTAAAGTGTTATGATCCTTGATAACCAGTATTATCAACAGATAGACTATATCTTTAACAACACTGAATATTTCAACAACAACCCAGTCACAGGCGAAATTCCCAGATGTCTTATCAATGGAATTAAACAACATTAACATTAAATTGCTACATAAAATTGATGGGAACAAATAATCTCTGCATGTTCACCATTCAATTTAATATTTCCTTTAGAAATCCAAGTAACAACTTGTCCTGGATTGACATTATATTTTGTACTTTACTATTGTGGGATTTGTTTTCTATAATTTCAACTGTAATAAAATTTTAGTGCAAAGCATTCTTCAAATTGTTATTTTTAGAATAGAATGGGTGAAGCAAGAACAACATGGAGCCCGCAACCTGAAATTAACAAATAGAATGGGTAAAGCAAGGACACTATAGAACCTAGTTCTTGTAATTCACTAATGGAATGAGTGAAGCTAAGGACTCTGTGGAGCCTGGGCACTGAAGTCAATGGATGAAACAAGGACCCTAAATTCATGAACAGAATGGGTTAAACAAGGACACTGTTGAGCCTGGCCCTAAAATTCATCAATAGAATGAGTGAAACAAGGACACGACTGTTGGGCCTCGGCCCTGAAGCAAATTACAGAATAATTTTGTATCATTAGCAAAAGACAGGACGCATGTGTTATTTTCTGAAGTAAATATCAACACAACATGATAGCATCATATGTAGAGTGTTTGGTCCTATATAGCAGTTGTGAGAAACTGCATGGTGTCAGGTATGAAATGCTAAGGTGGGCAGAGAATCACTTGCTTGCTATCTTCTGTCACCTAAAATTAAAGGGTCTATGTACTGAATAAATAAATACTGCTTCTACACTGTATGACACCATGGGTTGCCAAACAGCCATTTGCAGACAAATTAATATATATATTCATTTTTGGATGATAATATGACTAAATAGTTACTAACGATTGATTTGAGTTGCCAATTTCCTTCAAAATGAATGATATAATAATATCTTTCACATTAATTTAACTAGACCCAAGTGAATCTGGATGAAAAAAAGAAAGTGTTTTGATTCCAGAATTACCAACAGACGTGATATAATTCCAATTGCGTACAAGCATGATACGAGTAACCTACCTAGCATGGGGCAATGGTTGGACAAATATTTAAAAAGTCAAAAGCACAATAGACAGGCAACCTCAAAAGAGGACAGCAGCATATTTGAAACAGAAATGTGGATTAGCAGTTGAAAAGAATGATTTTTTGAGAGAAAGTTAACTGAAAAGAAGACGTGTGTTTTTCAGGGAGTAAATATGATCAATACAAAAATATAACAATTATATATGACAAGTCTCTGTTAATTCAATGGTAAAAAAAAACTAAAAACAATCAGCCATTTTCAATCAGAACATGAAACAAAATCACATGATGTATAATGCAGTTTTAGGGCGATGTCCATGCATATTAAGTAGCTAATTTGCATATTAATTATCTTATTTTAGCATGTTTAAGCAGAATCTCATAAACTTCTAGCAGATTTTGATCAAATTTGGTACATAGGTACCTTGGGGATACTGTGTAGACATAATTTGTTTTGGAGCCATGGCTTTGCATATTATGTAGCTAATTGCATATTGTTTCATTTCAGCCTGTGTAAGCAAAATCTCAAAAACTTCAGAATGGATTTGGATCAAATTTGCTATATATTGGCACTTTGGCGTTATCTACAGTCTTGAGCATATGATTTATTAGTTAATTTTCAGACAAATCAGGTAACTGCTTTTACTGATGTGCAATGTAAGTACTAAGTTTGAAATCCACCCATATACGACTGAGATCTGATTTCAGAATGGCAGAAATGCTCGATTTTGATGATTTTTTAACATTAAAAAAATTCATGCAAATATGTAATTAATATGCAAGGACGCCAACTAATATGATCTACTCATTATGCCAATGTATCTATGTACCAAGTTTCCTTGAAATCCGATGAGTGGTTCTTAAATTGAGATACCAGGGGAAATGAAGACATACACTGCAGACAAGGTAACCAGATGATGTTCACCATATACAGAAGACAAAACTGTTGCAGCATAAAATAAGTCCACATAATGGGGGCGTCTGATTAATAGAAAGGTTACAGTGGTAGGTTTACAAACTTTTTTTAAAATGTGGGGGTGTTTTGTTACTTGATCAGATGGGAGTGGTGCATTCACATAAAAGTCTAAATTCTTGACCTTTGACATCCACCATTAGTGACATAAATTTGTGTTTGCCCAGCTATATCATGATATATAACAAGGCACAGATTATTAAATCAGTAAATGGAGCATTAGTTAGGTTAAAAATGTAGAAACAAAACTATTAGTGAGAGGTTGCCAGTAGATATCAAATTTAGAAGTGGGAAGATTTATCCGAGTTTATTTTGTCAAATGTGAGGAATTAGTTTGTCAAAGAAAATGGCATGTTCCACTAAAAGAAACCAAGAAATTATATCAATTTAAGATAAGACAGTCACACAATGTAAAGACTAGCATGTCTTTATACAGCAAATTACACTAGACACTAGGAATAGCAGTTTAAGTATATACATATACTACTATCAATCCCATGTGTACATGTATATGTATTTATAGATTTGGACAAATTTGGAATCATATTTCTCTGTCCTCAGGACAAGGCTTTATCTAATGCATGAATAGAAAATTTATTTGAAATTTTTTTAGTTATACACATAGAGAGTATGCATTTCTTATAATAACACAATCACAGTGGTTGCTTCTTATGCTGTTTATTTACTCCAACTCTCTAAACCACACATTGTTTTGGTTAAATTTAACAAGTATGGAATTCTGGGAAAACTGTGACTGAATGGAATCCAAAACAATCCTTGTGGAGCAGAGTCAGATGAACTTTCAATGAAAACAATGATGACATACTTTGACAGATAACATCTTTGGAAGACATAGATTTCTCATACCAAGTTAATAATCATACTGTTTATGAATGATACATTTCAACATTCCTTTCTTTTTTACCAATACAATAGGTGACAGAGTTATGTAATGTAAATGTATAAATCTTACCTTGCATTGATTCTCTTGAAGGACTTGGTAGCAAGGGCAGCACCAAGAAGCAGGTGAAATAAATGAATGAAAAGGCATTGTAGCGGAATATAGCAGCTGAAAAATAAAACAAACAACATTTTACAATTACAATTCATATTTACACTATATACCGTAATGCATTGGTATTGAACATGTGCATAGCCATTTTGGTTTCAAATGGCAGAATACAACTCTTTGAGCAACAAAGAAAAGGCACCATCCACAAAATAGTTCTATTTATAGTCTGCTCTTTTTCACGTGACATGGTGTGGAAATTTCAAAAAACTAGAAGTAATGTCACATTTTGTGTGTTTGGTCCAAAATTAGGATTGAATTCAGTGAAAATAACAGAAAATGTGAAACAATTTTACCCAAATTTAAGTGGAAAAAAATGTAAGCAAGCTAGATGTAGTAAGACAACTTCTCAAAACATTCATCAAATTCCAGGGTAAAGTAGTGGATAGCCAGAGTTGACCTTGTCAAGTTCAAATAGCACTTGTAAATCAATGTCAAAGGGGTTTACAAATTTAAGGCAAAGAACCTGGCATCATTAGTCATAATAAAACAAACAATTAAATATCATTCTAGTAACAAAATCCATTCTAAAATGCAATTACTATCTCATCAAATCCGCCAAGAGGTTTTAATGTATTTTCCATACACCCTTGGTAGCTTGCTTCTGTTCACATAAAGCTCTCTAAAGTTTAGACTCAATGACTGATATACTGAATTTGCAGTAGATACATATAAATTTATGAATATAATAATTCCAACTCTGAAACAACACATCCTTTAGTAAATTCTATAATTTTGTTATAATTACTTTGATAGTTGCAGAGACCCTTGTTAAGAGACTGATTGTTGCTATTCTCAGAAAACCTATTGAAGTAGGAATGTCAATATATGATTGTCTATAATGAATAATTCCAATTTTTTTTCAATAAATTATAGCATCTTCAGCTGTTGCAAGCAGAGACCATGATTGCTTTATATTTACCTCATCAAGTAAATGTACACTCTGGTCTGTATTATTATCTTACTACATTTTTGTGTTACACCAATAAGGCATCACAACCTCAAGTATGTATTTAATGCCTTACTGTATACTAGTATAGCATTTACGTAACTTCACCGTTTAGTGATTTCAATAAATGAACTACATTTGTGAGTTTTGTATACTTTAAAAACCAGGCCAAAACAAATATTTTGGCTCATATGCACCTCTATCAGAGACATGCTGAAAGAAAGAGCAAAACAACACATATTTTCAATAAATTTCAATATTAACCTACAAATTTAATTAAACATTCAATCACAGTGAATAAATAGTAATTAGAGATTTAAGCAATGAAACAATATACTGCTTTTCATTACTGATTTGATAATATAAAGTATCAAACTTAAATTTTTAGTATGTCTGAGTTGTTTCCTCTTATTGTATATAATATAAACTCGCCCACACAATCTTTTTATTTGTATGTTTACAAAGACCAACAAATGTCAGAATTCGGAGGTTAAAACTGTGGTGATGGAAGCCACTGGTCCAACAATGAGCACTTACACGCAAATCAAATAAACACATAAAACTAGAAAAGGATGTTAGTGAGAAACTTTCATAGTACAATCAGGCATTTAGATGAGCATCAAACACTGTTATAATTTATATCTGTGATTCTAACCAACTACCTGCTAAATATGCCTCATATAAACAATTTGTACAGAGCAAAAAATTGCTAATCAAACTGTAAGCAGTACTGATGAGAAATATTCAGACTTCTTATCAAGAAGCTATGTACATATGCAATTTTTATTAGCTGACAATTTATCATGATCACTCCTTGCTTCCCAGTCTAATCTTTATACCAGTTTCACTCAAAGACAAGTTATAATGTAAGTGAATGACTACAGTATGCTACAGTACTTATACAACTAAAGTTATTTCTAAATGACATAGTCCCTGTCAGTGAATAACTATGGTATGCTAGTATTAGTTGCATACTCAAAAGCATGTATTAAGATTCAGGCAAAAATGAATGCCTGGCCACATTTGCTCTGATCAAAATGTAAATTGTCGCATTAATTCATGTCTGAGAAAATCAAATGCATGAACTGATGGACCCCAAATAATTATCTCTGTTTTTTATGATTACTCGCGAACAGGAACTGAAAAGAACATACAAAGAAATACACTAAAATACATATACAAAGAAATACACTAAAATACATATACAATGAAACTGTAACATAATAAATTCTTTTGCCGACATAATTGTCCACTCTTCCTTATGATTGTTACTGCATTTGCTTTATTACCAGCTCTTCTCAAATAAAAACCAGAAATTGGATTTATTGTACTGGAACTTGGTATATGTATTTTCTTTTGTAATAACCACATCATTATATAGCTTTTTCCCCGTTTGTGATAATAATTTAATGATAGATAACAGCCAAAAATGGCAACAGAAAATGTCCTCATATTTGCATTCAGTGATGCAATATAGCACTTCTGCATCTAATGTAAACAAAGAAAAGTGTTCAAATATCAATAATCTTGACGCTTCAATGTGACATAGTTAATACCATATTAGGAGTAAATTGAACTTGAAACAAGTGCAAATATGTCATTGGTCAATTCTATTTCATTGTTTTCAGTACTGGATGTATAATAATATTCTTTATAACAAACCTGTGATGGTTCACTGAGAAATGTAACCATTCTCTGAGATAGTGAAAATTGATACTAGTATGTAAACAAATGGTTCTAAACAGTTTGAGTATCAGTTCCATATCGTTCCAATGATTTACTTAGTTCTAGTTTCCAGTGCATGGCATTACTTAACCTTCTAGTACTTTTTGTTACTCAATATATGCATAGTTTATAATAACAAATAAAATTCTCATTTGGATTGATACAAACAAATAAAATTTCAGTTGTCCTGGTAGATTTTCAATTTGACTATAGTTGGTACATGCACAGAGCAGTTTTCAAGAAACTGTCAAACTTAGAAGTTTTGACCACAAATTTGTTAAAATTGTTATCAAAAATAGAAAACTGTAGATATTATCAAAAATTTAAATTTAAATGGAATAAAACCAGTAGTTTTTACAAGACATGTACAGGGGTTCAGTTGTCTCAAAATTAGTTTAGGATATTTTGTCCAAAATGGCAACTAGTATCGTGGGACATCTCTAATTTTTATATCTTGGGTATAAAACTAAATTTAACAGAAAATACTTAGGCCCTTTGTGAAATGAATAAAATTAGTAAAATTTTTTAAAAAATACCAGCATACCGGCTTATAAGAAGTTCTCTCTGGGCAGTCAATGGTCTCAAACACCATCAGCTGACAGTGTGTTTAAATTCATTATTAGCACCCACTGTAACCATGTACATTGTATATCACAATAATTATATTTTCAAGCAATGACGCTGATATCAGTATCTGCTGATATTACAAAACAAGGACAACTTTTTATATACAATTAACCTCAATCGATAAATGGAAAGGACAATATCCTTGCAACTCAAAATGGATGAAATTATTTTCAACACAGAGATTAGAAAGTGTGAGATGAACATTCAAGCTGATCTGTCAACTCATCTTCTCAAAGTGCTGCCAGTTTCAAATGAACTGCATGGCTTCAATCAACTGTTTTATTTTTGTTCAAGATGTTTGCACAAATTGAGCCCCTAATGGGTTGTTTTCTTTTGTCTCCATGGAAACACAGCTGAGCCTCAACATAGCAATAATAAACTTTGTGACCAGTGCATAACTTTCAAAATTGTTGAATTAAAAAATGTGGTCACCAGACTTAAAATCTATCTTCTTAGAGGAATTAATTTCGCAAACTTTAAATAAAGTATATATTGTAATGTTTGTTGATGGAACAATTAAAAGAAGAGTTTGGTAATTTTTATGAATGGAGGCATTTTGCAGGGATCAAAGCACAACTCTATGATTTAATTTGTTAGTACAACCTTGAAACTGAGCTCCTCTGTCTGTATATCAATAAAATATACAACACAAAATATAAGTTGAAAGATCAAAGTAAAAGGAGAAGTATAATAAGAAAGCTCATGATATGTTTACGACATCACTTGTCAAGTGATTATGATTCATAGCATGATCTTAAAATTACTTTATATTAAACCAGACTGTCTTAACTGTGTATTGACAATTTTTTTAAATCAGAAACACAAAATTACTGACATCATTATTAAAATCAGAAACAGAAACAGAAAACTACTGACATCATCTTTGAAATCAGAAACAGAAACACAAAATTACTGACATCATTGTTAAAATCAGGAACAGAAACATAAAAGTACTGACATCATTGATATAGCCCACACACATGCATATAATTATATACAATCACTTTCAAGTTATTTGTAACACTTTAAATCAACTACAAATATGTCTTCCTATAAACTAGATTGCATATGACATAATCTAAGTATTAAAATGAAGTACTTTATACTTATTTTAATTTACATGGATTTAATTGTTTAAATGTCACAATTGCCAAAACTGTGACAGTGAAACATAGAAAAAAGCAGTTACTGTCTCTTTCACAAATGATTTAACTCATGTCAGATACAAATATTGTTGTTGGGATGCCACACATATACAATACGAAGATAAAAATACACCAAGTCACTGCATTTGTAGACTACTTTTTAAAGGCAAACGCTATTAATAATGGATATCAAGTTCTTACTGTTTTACTCACGATACTAGCACTTTAATTGTATGTGCATAAAAACATACATAACAACTTTTTTTTTCTCCAAGCATTGACAGCTTTTATTCATGATCCTCAGATCTCCCAAGAATGGGGGATAAAAACAATCTTAGATTCTTTATATTATAAAGAGAGAATCTACTTCTCGAATGACAAACACCACCATACAACAAATAAAATATATACGCTAGCCCTACAAAGTTGTTTGAAATGTGTCTTAAAAGTCAGACAACTTGAAAGAGTACAGTCCAAATTGATAAGGGTAAATTGATCACATCACTTGAATGCTGCCAATACAGACATCTAGAAGGAGACTAGAAAGTGGGTAC